ATTCGATATATTTTAATCTAAAATATTAAGACAATAAGTATGACATCTGCAGGGAATAAACTAGTGCAAATTTTAATCAAAAGTAACATACTACAGACAGTGGCGGACACACCCATTGGGCAGGGTGGGTCGGCCGGCCCAGCTATGGTCCGTGTTGCCCTACACCCCCAAACCTCATTTTAGTCCAATTTTTAACACATTAGTCATCTATCTACTATTGAATAATTAGATAAATCAAGTATTTTTAGCAGGAAAAAAACATTTATGAAAATTCGTGTATAAGTAGTACTATTTTGACCGTTTCTGATTTTGGCCATACATAAAATTTGATTTTCTTTCTATTTCTTTAGCGCATAATAATACATACTACAGTAAATAGTTAAATTGATAAATATATAAAAAAAAATCCATTTTACTTATTAGAACTATTTTGGCGAAGCGCTTAAACCCCTAAATAATTATTCATCTCGTTTTATACCCCGAACTATTGAAAGTGGTTCCCCTTATGGTCTAAAGGCATTTCTCATTTTTTTTCTCTCTCTACATACAAGTCATATACGTTTGTTCGACTACCAATCTTCATTGTTAACTTTCTAGATGTTCGTGCCACTGTTGCGCCAATGCCGTGAAACCAGCGACTATGGTTTGTGTGCGTTTTGTCATCACCTAATTAGGGCTAGCTCTGCCGCCAAATCTGTATTTTAAACCTACGTCTGCCACTGACTACATATCATGCTTAATATAGAATAAGCATAAACATTTGTCACATGGGAATGCAATGAAAACATTGCACCTAACAGTAGTATTTGAGAAAAGAACATGAACACGATGAAAGTTGAGTTGTACCCTGAGAATGGCCCTTTGCTAGAATTTGAGGCAGTATTGCCTCCGTTGGTGTTGGCGGGAGCCTCCTTCTCCTTGTGTCCAGTGTTGCTGTTGTCACCGGTGTTCGACATGTTGGCGAAGACGATGCAGAGGAAGACGAACTGGAGCGGAGCAGTCGTGCGGAAGCACTCCCTAAAAACCTGATCACGCGCCTACCCGTGCAGGTACTCAAGCAAGGCATGGTTTCGGAGGCCCTGCTCATCCCAATCTCCTGTGCGCGCAAGAGACCAGAACCGGGGAAGCAGAATGGAAGCATGGGAACATAAGGACAAGACCGCAGAATGGAAGCACGGGAACATAAGGACAAGAACAGACCAACAAACCAACCAGCGATTAGGAAGAGGCAGCGTCTCTGTACTGTCCAGCGGAGTCTCTCGCGAACTGATTCAGGGATTAAACGCATCGTTCATGCTGAATCATTCTCCGTCCGTTACAAAACGAGAGAGAGAGAGAGAGAGAGCAGCCATCTATACTCTCCAGCGGAGTCTCTCGCGAACTGATTCAGGGATTAAAGGCATCGTTAATGCTGAATCATTCTCCGTCCGTTACAAAACGAGAGAGAGAGAGAGAGAGCAGCCAGCCACGCCCACTGCTCGGCCAGCCGGCCGGCGCGCGTGCGTGGCGGTCCGCCCACTATCTCAACAGGTCAACAATGACTCTCCTCTAGTTCCCTATTTAAGTTGAGATCTCTCCACTTAAATTCTCGAGGTGGTTTTATTACCTCTAACATTAATTATGGGCATATGGAATTTAATTGAATTAAATCGAGCCTAGCCCATTTATTCCAACAGAATATATATGCATTTTTGTGTATGTAGGTCCATAGACCACCACTAGATCTAGCCAGGTGAGAGTCATCGAAATTGTCGACCAACCCTCCTAATCGGCCAGTCTCTTTCACGGAACATGGCATGCCATCCTTGCATGAGTGCGATGCTACTTCAGTTCATGTTGGATCATATGAAGAAATCATGTAAAGACAGTAGGAAGAAGAAAAGAAATGAAAGTGGGAGTGGGTTAGGGGGTGGGGGTTGGAGATGTGAAGATGAGTGTGGCACCGCCAGCAGCTGCGGTAAGGTGGTCATGCGGAAGGTGGCTCGTGAGGTTGGGTTGTCGCCCTATCGTGTCCTGTAATGAAGTTATTAGTTTAAACTAGTTTTAGATAATGGAATAAATCCTGGCATTTACTTCAAAGAAGCTACAACCACTTATTACACAATTCCCTCGAAAAGAGAAACCAAATAGACAACCCATGAAGTTTGGCTAACAAACACCAACACTTAAGGAGAAAACAATTATTAAATTCTATTTGTAAATCTCCAGCCGAAATTGACAAAGATCTGCATGACCGTAAGTTCCAAGCTTCAATATGCAATACGAATTAGCTCCTTGTCTTTGTCAGGGTTATGCATAACATATACCCAATAGTAGTTCACTAAGCTCAGCGGACCCAGCATATACTAAGTCTTATATGAACTTATACTCTACTTGTAGTTTCCGTTGGACTATTATGAGGTTTTAGTCCAACGGAAATAAGAAATACTCTCCAAACAAATTTTGCAATATGATAATCAAAGAAAAGATATTCAATAGTCTCATTTCTAAAAAGAACATCTTTTATTTCCATTCCAATTTCTCTGTGCTAAATTATCCTTAGAATTAGGAGACCTTTTTGGAGTTCAAGTTCAATTAATTCAATTCTTTTTTGGAGTTTGACAGCTCAAACATATTCCAGGAGTCAGAATACAGCTTCTATCAGCACCTATCTCCGGTGTAGGTGCTTAGAGAGGAATACTTATCATAAGTCACTTTATCTTATTGCCATGTAGGAGAAGAGAGATGCTAGTCCTGAAACATTGATGCTTACATTACATGTAAACCTTAGTTTGATTATTTGATTTGAAAATCAGGAAGATATGATTTTATTACAGAATATGGTTCTTGGATGCTTAATCACACATAAAGCACCCTATTAAAACCCATTGCATTTGAGATGCTCTCCTCGATCGCGATCAATATTCCGACTCCTAGTTTTGTAGAGTTCCATAATGAGCGTCTAGTAACATATATATACATTCTATACAGTTGAATGGGAAAATATACGGTGGAAACTACATATGTAGTGGAAAACTGGAAACTACCGTTGGATCGAACAATAGATGTCTGAAATTCATCCACGTTATTACGAGTAAAAATTTTACTCACACATTCACTCATTAAAAATTTTACTGGGAGTAAAATGTTTACTCATGGTGACGTGAATGAATTTCGAATGTCCATTTTTCGATCTAACGACAGTTTCTAATTTTCCACTGTATTTGTGGTTTGCACTACATATTTTCCCTAGTTCAATGAGGGGCATATATTGACTACTTTAAATGTTGGTAGTGGTGGTGGCAGTGAATTTGCCATCCCACCTATCCACTTAATTTTTACATATCATCCCTTGAACTTTTTAATAGTAAAAACATTCAAATGTAGATAGATTGCCACATATAAAATCAAATAAGATGAATGTTCTCCATAAAAGATATGTAATATATTTAATCATAAATATATTTTTATTTATTCTAAACAATAATATCATCAATATTTTTTATCTGTGGCAAAGCACGGACATTTAGCTAGTAGTTGTAATTTTTTATCTTGTAAAGGGAACTATTGTTTCTCCTAGGGTAACTTTATCAACAGTAAATTGTGTGGTTACAGTACATAAACTTTATACATAGGTGATAAGTATAAATAGGCGCAACAAGTTGTTAATTATACGCTAATTTGATACAAGAATTTAATTAATCTCCACGCAAACCAACATCTCAAAACGGTGTATGCAATTTATATAAGAGCATGTACAATGGCAATTAATCGGGGTTCTTAGGCTTGTTGATTAGGAATATTTGCTGAAGTGAAAGATAGAGAAGGAAGAAAGATAAAACATTGTTGCTATGGTAAATAATGGCTGAATAACAACTCTTGTCCTCTATAAAATAAAAAACTTGGCTTCATGACGGTGAAAAAGAAAAGAATCAACAATATTAAAATAGTATTTTCTAAGTTAATTACTATAGCCTTTCTTGTCTTAACCATTGTAGAGGAACAATCTCCAAATAAACATGTATTATCTAAAGAGTTATGTATCGGGCTCTACCTTTGAACATGCCATAATATGACGTAGCCGGCATTGGCACAAATATAGCGTCAGCTTTCGTGCAAACATAGTTTGACCACAATTTGCTTTTCTTTTTTTTATAAAAAACCTACGTGTATGGATATTCTATTTTGCATAGGATCACATTAATTAATTACCGTTAGCATCCCGTACGTCCAGCACCCAGGGCATGCACTTTGGTCAAAAATTTTGTAGCACCGAAATTTACAAAATTTTAGGACTTTCAGTACTTTTTGGCATGAAATTATTTAAAATTTTAACAAATTTTAACTGAATTTTAATAAACTTGGACTAAATTCAAAAAAAAATCGCCCTCGTGAACTGCTGTAAGGATCAAATATCATACTGATCAGGTAGTGCTGCACTGGTGTTGATATGGTGACCATCTTGTGATTGTCCGAACCGTTTTAGCCTTGGTTGATGCATACTTGTAATTAACTTGTTGCATAGTAACAAGCGGATTTACAGCTTATTATATATACTCTCTCCATATTTATAATGAAAATCGTTTAGAATAATATTTAAGTCAAACCTTAGAAATATAAATCATGAATAACTCTCAACAGAAAATATAAAATTTATATGAATAGATTTGTCTTGAAAAATACTTTCATAAAAGTATACATATATCACTTTTCAATAAATATTTTTATAGAAAAAAGAGTTTTAGAGACCGTGTCGCTGTCCTAAACGACTTGCTTTTAAAGTACGGAGGGAGTACTTGTTTGCATCCATCATCGTCATGCATGATCGTGTATCGTGGTTACAATTTACTGCTTTCTTCATCAATTTAGACGACTTTCCATATATAAGAAAGATACCTCGCTACAACCAAGCTGATTCCGTTCCTCGAAAGCTTCATGTAAGGCCTAAATTTAATCCGAGAAACAGTTGACCTCTCCCAAAAAAAAAAAAAAACTCGGAAGTCGTAGGAGGCCTACTGATGGATCGACTTCACGTACATCTAGTCTAGGTAACGGTGCAACGGTCTATAAACGAAGCAGAAGGATCTGCACCATCAGACCGCCCACACAGGACTACTCCGTAAGTGTGAAGCCATGTCGTCCGGCAGGAACACACCAAAGCCCACAGGTACGTTTCTATTAGGGTTAGATGAAGCTCCTTATTACTCCCTCCATCCCAAAATACACAAGATTTTAGATGGATGGGACATTCACCAGTATTACAAATCTGGACAGAGTCTGTTCAGATTTGTTGTAGTGTCTCATCCGTTAATTAAAATCCTTCATATTTTAGAACGGATGGAGTAATTCTCAATAGTTGTATATGCACAACTTTTCTGAAACCTCCTCTATCATTTACTTTTTCTGTCCAAAAAGTATTTGATATACAACATTTAAAATAAAAAAGAAGTCGATTTTGCCTCTTGTCGGTCCATAAATCAAGATATTATTAAATATGTTTTATCTCTTCGATACCTTAATTTAGTTTATCTATGCATATCCATATGCCAATAATATTTCATCTATGCTTATTTATATTGGGATCGGTATAAATCAACCTAGAAAATAGAGGACACTTTTTTTCCATTTTTATCTCTATGGAATCTACTCCCATCCTATGTTTTAAAATAAAACATACTGACTGCGATTTCCTATTGACTTCTAAGTCGGAACCAGATTTCATTTATTTTCTTTCCCTCTACACCATATATACTTACTTTTCCGACTATACAAGAGACTTTATTCTTGGTCTATAGGCACAAATCCAGTAAAAAATATCAATCAATTAGGTGAGCATGATTTCTGCACTTTTCCATTGAATCCAGCAAATGGATGTGTTTTTCCAGCCACTGAGTATCTACAAATCGGAAACCTATATCCTAAGATCATACAAACCCATTTCATCAAACCCACCCCTACTTTGTTCTCTGTTTCCGTCTTTCACAATAAAAACAATCGTGCGTATGGGCGTTTGCTCCTCCTTCTAAAGGTGAATCGTTCCATTGATCCATCCGTTTGGTTTGAGAAAATCAGCCCGTGCTATGATCTCGTATATGGAAAAGTAAATCAACTATCGTACGTCAGGCATTGCTCCGATGCTAATAAACTTAGGCTAGCTCGTTATAAAAATATATAAACTGAACTATATATAGTTATTACTAGAGAATTGATCGAAAAAAAATCATAGCCATATGAATAATATGGATCCAATAGAAAAATAATGCTCATTTGGGCACATGAATATGCGCTATATATATTATAGAGGTCCAAGATGACTAATCAATAATTTAATTAGATGGGTAATAAATAATTGAATTAGATAGATAATAAGAAACATCTAGATCCAATGACTGCCATCTTTCTACTGCAAGAGGGGGTGGAAGTGTTCGCCGACTTTGATAGGATCGAGCGCCCTTGCGCTGAAGATGAACGGGGCTAAGCATTGCGATATAATAGTAACAAAAGAATGATGAAGTGGCTTTATACATTTCCTGCTTTATAGGAGTTAATGTTTTTTTTTTGGATTCCAACTATATAAAAAATAAAATAGATGAGATGGAAGCGGGAGGAACAAGGGAAACAGTGCCTGCCCTCCAGGCTCCAACTCCCACCCCCATAAACACACACGAGGGAGGCATTACTTATAAAACGATTTTTCGCAGGCCATAGTCTTTTCTTTTCACATATGACCTAAAATTTAACTGCCTATGAAAATGCTTGTAATCCCTTAGCTTATTGACCGCATGTGAAAAACCTATTTCCTTAAGATACATGAGAAAATCATGATTTTTAGATGCAGTTTGTTAAGAAAACAGTCCGCAAAAATGAGATGATTTTTACTCTGTGGTTCTCATTAAGTTCTCTAAAGGAAAGGAATATCATGTAAAATTCGATTTTCATGGGTAGTTCTAGAACCACAGTAGAAGATTGGAACAACATTGTTTCAAGAAAAAAACATAACCCTTTCATCTCTAGACGAATGACGACAAAGTTTATATGAAAATTGTAGTTGTTGATGAAATCTAAAACCTTGTAGTCTAAAGTTTTTTTTATTTGAGATCGTTTAGGGCCTAGATATGACTACATACAAGCTCTCAGCTCTATTTTTTTTAAAGAAAAACAAAATTCTGAGTTCTTCAATCTACCCCAGATAGAGGCATGACCTCGACAGGGAAAATTGAAAATATGCCACTGTTTTCACTCCTAACTCGGAATAGCCATTATAAATACACAAATTGTAAACTTGCCACCAAATTTGGTATGTGTTGCTTCCTTTTGCCATTGCTATTCGAACTGGTAGAACTAAAAGGCCAAAAAATATTTCATAAAAGTAATGTAAAAAACAAGGAACATGACTTTACTGTTTTGACCTAGATCCCAAATCCCCTGATGCCTCCGTCCAAATCGAGACCAAAACTACCCAAAATGGATCCCAATGAAATAGAAGATCGATGGCAATTGAGGAACAACGGCTTGGGCGGTAACGGTTGGCACAGCGGCGGGGAGGTGCTTCGGCGGCGGCTGCATGCAGCACCGGCCGGTAGCAGCTGCTGCACACGGCGCTGCGGTGGGGAGCAGCAGCAGCGGCATTTGCAACAGCAGCAGCTGCACGCGGCAGCAGCAACGCACACGGCGGCGGCAGCTAGCAGCAATACGTACGCAGCAGCAGCAGGCTGGTGCTGCAACAGCAAGAGCAGCAACTATGGCCGGCGCAGGGCAGCAGCAACGGGTGGCAGGGGTCATCCTTCTTCTAATTATCATGAAAACTCACATTCTAACGGTGTTAGTCTAATTAAGCTGTAAGTGCAGTGGCAGGTATTATTCCAACACGTTTTAGTGTTACATATGCAATTACGTTTTTTTTATGGAAAATTTATAATACCGATTCAAACCAGTGGCAAATATTCAATGGATCATCATAGGCTTTTTTTTTAATAATTTAAGTGCCCAAATATTCGTTATAAGCTTTTACATCTATTTTTTTTAAAAAAAACACACGGGTAATTTTAGAGGTGGCTCCTTAGGAAGTTCAAATTTTGAAAATTCATTTTAGGTAAGTTTGAGATGAACCAAAATTTTTGGAGATCATTACAATATTTTTGGAGATCATTACAATATTCGGGCGCGCCAGACCGCGGGCCAGTGTTGCCAATAAGCGAGACCGATGGCGCCACTCCACCCCAAATCAGTACAACGTGGCGCTCTCGCTCTGTGGAAACGCGATACCGCGTCGATATCGCATAACCAACAAGCGACACCGCCAGCTCAAATCTCCTCGCCATTCGACATGCGAGACCGTCACGCTCTCGCGCATTGGTAACGTGATACCGGGGCGATATCGCGTTTTCCCATAGCGAACCTCAGTATCACACTTTCTAACCGTGATTTCTATGGTATATTTATGCTAATCAAACCACATCGGTATATTTCTGAAAGAAAGATCGATGAATAGTATTTTTTCAAAAAAATTTCTCAGATACATGATTGGATAAATGATGACCGTCTGATCAAATACATACCTGCATTATCCCTCCGGACATTTATAGTGCTTCTCCTCATACACTTGGCAGGCATGAAAGAGAGCAAGCAACATTGAAAACTTAATGGGCTAGAATTTTATAAGTTGTGTACTTATGAAATTACAACTTATAAAATTTGACACACGGACCAAGTGAAACAAATACTCCCTCCGATTTTTATTAATATATGATGTCATTAACTTTTAGATACATATTTGTCTATTCATCTTTTCCAAAAAAATTCAAATAAAACATAAATCATACTTAAAATACTTTCAGTGATAAAACAACTCACAACAAAATAAATTACACATGTATTTTTTTAATAAGACAAATGATCAACCGTGTGTTTACATGTTAACGACGTCATCTATTAAAAACGGAGGTAGTATGAATTGTTTCTTGACTAAAAACATAGAAATACTACGGTGGTTATGTATGTGACCTATGAGAAATTTCATAGTAATGATTTTTGAAAGGAATTTCATAGTAATGTTTAAAGCCAAGATCATTTTAGTCGCAAGAGAAAGAAAACACAATCTTTAATCTTCAACAAAGATGGCTTCTCATGGTTGCGCGAACGCGCGACTTTGAGTGGCTAGTTTGGCATGAAATATTTTTGGTATTTTTTTCACCTCTATGTACCATTTATGCTGCTCACTACTTAAAAACCATTAAATAGTTCTAGAAAATTCCAAATACACACTTTGAGAACTTAATCTCAAATCAAATTAAAATTAAATCATATTTACTTGAAAAAACACAGCTAAATTATTTTTTTTTATTTTTTTACATATGTGTATTTAAATTAGTGTTGTATATTTATCCCGTGATATTTGACCACTAAAATATGATGTGAAATAATTTAAAAATTATCATAACATAAATTGTTATATGTTGGTCCCATGTGTCACAATGTACTTCCTCCGTTTCACAATGTAAGTCATTCTAGCATTTCCCACATTCATATTGATGGTAGATTCATTACCATCAATATGAATGTGGAATTATCTAGATTCATTACCATCAATATGAATGTGGGAAATGCTAGAATGACTTACATTGTGAAACAGAGGAAGTATTTAGAACCATAATAACTTCTATAAGACATAAATATTTCATTTAGTTAAAGCAGTACAACGGATCATAGTTGAACATAAATGTAATTTAAAAATGAACATTTAAACAATATTTATATTATAGATCCCATTAATATTTGTGTATATTAATCTGTGAAGTAATATATTTTATTTTATATTGTAGAAAAAAGTTGTTTAAAGACCATCGATTATATACCCACACATACCTACAACATGAGTGCACACTAATTAATTAAATTGCACCCCACTTGCAAGTACCGATACCACCATGTATTCTACTCTTCCTTTCAATTAGATGAGACTCTGGCTAATTTTTTCCTGCCCTCTCCTCTTCTCACTTATCTTCCCAGCTGGACTACCACAGACATCGGAACGCACGACACCGGCACAACAGCCGGCACCGGGAGACCGTCAGCCGGAAACGAATGCGGCGGGGAAACAACGCGATGCTGTCCCGATGTGTACACAAGGTAAAATTGTACCTTAACAATAGGGCTGTCAACGAGTCGAGCTCGAGTAAGGTCGTCTGCCTTAGGCTCGAGCTCGAGCCGAGCCTATAAGATGTTCGAGCTTTCAAACAAACTCGGTTCGAGCTCGATAAAACTTAAGCTCAACTACCGAGCTTCATTTTTTAAGTAAAACAATATATATTTCAAGGATAATTTTTTTAAAATAATTAATTTATAGCCCATCATATTAATAGAAAAGAAAAAAGAATAAAATAAATATATAATGCCAATATAGTGCAAACAAATAACATAGTTGATTCTCTAATATTTATTAAATAACAACAAAAATCATAAATATATGAAGCTCGAGCTTGGCTCGACAAAGCTCGCGAGCTTTGTGAGAGGCTCAGGCTCGGCTCGTCTAATGCTCGAGCCGAGCTTGAATCCAGCCTATGACAAGTCGAGCTCGAGCAGCTCGTAAGCCTCGAGTTTTTTTGACAGCCCTACTTAAAAGTCTTGTTTAATTTAACCGTTTCTTGAATGGCCAACTCTCTGTTTATTTTTTAAGTCTAGCTAGTTACTTTATTTACATTTCACTCTCCGTTGCTTGTGGCATAGGCCATCCGGTGCAGAAAGCCTAATTTACAAACGTGCGCATGATTGGCATCTTGTGAACACTTTCTAAACGCATACAACAAGATGTTAGGGTTGGGGTTGGGGTTAGGGTTAACGGGGTGGAGGGGGTCGCTGGGGAGGTGCAAGTAATAGATCAGGCTTAAATAGATGGCTTGGGAGGCGACAGACCGGCAGTGGACGGCAGCACGGCAAGAGCCTCGGGTTGGCCGCAAGTGGTGGACCCGTGTTGGTGGTGACAGGAAAAGTGAGGCGTGTGGGACGAGAGGAGGTATGCCGGATGGGCTTTGCCAGCACATTGAAGCTTTTCAATGTCTGAGGATGTAGGAAATCGAAGGTGACCTGTGTTTGGATTTTGCTGGAGGAGGAGCAGCAAAAAGAGTTCGCCGGAGGGAGCTCGCCGGCCATTGAGGCCATGACTAGGGCTATTAACGAGCCGAGCTCGAGCGAGCTCATCTGACTAAGCTCGAGCTGAGCCTATAAAATGTTCGAGCTTTCCGACAGGCTCGGCTCGAGCTCGATCAAGCTCGAGCTCGACTACCGAGCTTGATTTTTAAATAAAACAATATATGTTTCAAAGATAATCTTTTAAAAAAAATTAATTTCTAGTTCATCATATTAATAGAAAAGGAAAAAAGAATAAAATAAATATGTGATGTCAATATAAGACATACAAATAACATATTTGATCTCCTAATTTATTAAATAACAATAAAAATTATATATTACTAAGCTTGTTGGAAGCTCAAGCTCGGCTCGACAAAGCTCACGAGCTTAGGGAGAGGCTCGTGCTCAACTCGTCTGGAGCTCGAGCCGAGCTCAAATCAAGCCTAGGACGAGCTGAGCTCGAGCAACTCCCGAGCCTTGAGCTTTTTTATAGCCCTAGCCATGACCACTCCTATGGCCCACATGTTCTACCCCTAGTCGGTTACTCCCAACGCCCGACCGCTAAGTACTGGCCATACAAAATAAGTGAAGAAAAAAGATAAGACAGAGAGAGGAGTAGGGGGTTAATAGGATGGGATGTCGAGACATGTTCACAACCCACCCATCCATGTGTCCCTCGACTGTTCCACGACCCATTGGACCCTTCTACCGTGGTTTGGAATTTGTAATAAGATTAGATGCCCAAAACTTTAGCTAAGTCATAAAATTATATTACTCCCTCCGTTTAATATTACAAGTCGTTTGATTTTTTTAGTCAATTTTTTTAAGTTTAACCAAATTTATAGATAACATATAGTAATAATTTCAACACAAAACAAACATACTATCAAAATATCAAAATGTATTGTACGTTGGATACTTAATGAAACTAATTTAGTATTATAAATATTGCTATATTGTTTTACAAATTTGATCAAATCTAAATAAGTTTAACTTAAAATAACATATTATAATATAAAAAACATATGAAACAGATGGATTAGATTGGATGTGTCTGCGCTTCTTTTTTCAGATATCAAAAGCAGGACTATGCTACGACTTGGATGTCCAATTAACTCGTAGCAAATCCAACGCTACTTAGCCAACTTGTAATCGCGATCCAACTCATAGAAATTAGTTCTCACATTCATCCGAGATATAGCTAAAAAAAAGTTGTATCCAACTCACGATAACAATTACACACTTTTTGGTTTTTTTTTTTCGGTTTGGCACCACTACATCTAGCGACGAGCCAATGCAAAACTCGATATGATGAAGAGCACCATTTCTCCGGGCTGAAAATCCCGACCTATTCGACAGTGTTTGCGTCAACTTGTCGTATTCTTGCAGAACGCCGGTGTTGTCTGGTCCCATAGAAATGTAGTTCTAATTAACTACCGGATTAGACGGGGGCAACATCCACGGATATGCTTAGATCTATTTTTATAATAATTTTAGCATCCTTGTTACCGGGAGATATCGTAATTTTAGTGTAAAATTTAGTATCTATACCAAAATTTATAGCGTAAAATCTTGGCACCTCCACAAACTTTCTTAAGAACTATAAAATTTATCCTTTTTTAAGGCATTATTCTGTAGAATACATCATAATACAGTTGTGTTGTGGTTAGGTTAGTTGAGAGTAAGTTGCTACGACAACACGATATATATGCCCATGTTGTTATAGTTTTTTTTTCCTACGAGAAAAAAGTCTGAATTATGCTCTGAACTATTATCATCATTCGAATTACCCGTAATTCGAATACCAGATATTTTACACTCTCAATAATTTAAACCAAACAAATAACACTCTCTACTCAATCAGAAGTTGTTTCGGTCCTACTCCTACATAGCTCAGGTGGTGTTTGGATCCAGGGACTAAATTTTAGTCCCTGTCACATCGGATGTTTGAACATTAATTTGTAATATTAAACATAGACTATTTACAAAACTAATTACATAAATGGGAGCTAATTCACGTGACAAATTTTTTAAGCATAATTAATCCATAATTAGCACAGGTTTACTGTAGCATCACATAGGCTAATCATGGATTGATTAGACTCAATAGATTCGTCTCATGAATGGATTTTGTCAATAGCCTACATTTAATACTTCTAATTAGTGTTCAAACATCTGATGTAATAGGAAAAAAAAATTTTAGTCCCATCCAAACAGCCCCTTAGTCTCCATCGTGGTGCCATGCCCCCGTCGCCTCCAGTTTCAAGGCAAAGCAAGGATGGAGGGACTGCAATTGTCGAGGGCGGTAGGTGGAGGTGGAGGTGGAGCTCAAGCTCGCTTGAGGAGCCGAGGAGGGCGGCATCCAGCCTCAGAGGATCTCGAGCTCGCCTGGGGAGGACGCTAGCGGCGGAGTCGTGGAGCTCCAGATCTGCTCCCACCTCTCTCTGACCCCCAAGCTGCTCCGATCCGCCTTCTCCTCCTCCATAAACTCGCAGAGGGAATCTCGAGCTCAAGCACCACATTCGCTACCTCGATCGAGCTCTCTGACTTACTCGATCATGCAGTCACCAGGGTTCACAATTCTGACAAAAATCGGTGGAATTTTACGAAATTTCGATGTTTCAACATAGCTCGAAATTAAGTTTCGATTGGAATTTCGAAGGTTAACCAGTAAATTTGGTCGAAATTCAGTCAAAATTTATCAAAAACCGATCGAAATTTATTGAAAACTGTGATATCGATGGGGCTCAAAATTTAGTGGTCAACCGGTAATGTAAACCCTGGCAGTCACTCTACAAAATTTTCCACAAGGTCGAGAAGGAAATGCGGTGATGGTGGGGTTAGCTATCTGATCAAGATGATTAGCTAGGTAAAAACAAAAAGAGACGGTAAAAATCTGTAAACGTGTTCCCGACCCTGATTTAGGCTGCATTCTTTTTCTCGAGTTGAAGGGAGATTTTAAACACACACGAAACAAAACGAGAAAACTCATTAACACATAATTGATTAAGTATTAATTATTATAAATTTACAAATTTATTTAATTGATTGTTTAAACGACTTTTATGTAGATTTTTTTAAAAAAGAGAACATTTAACAGCTTAAAAAAATGAGATAATAGAAGACGAGAAAGTTAAAAATCAAAGTTAGAAGAAAAGAACATATATAGTCTTACTTTTATTTGAATGGTCTGCAGGCGGTGGTGGCAGTGACGCGCAAGGCTCGGCAACAGGTGGACCCTGCAAATGTAACTGTAAGTATTTTGGGACGGAGGGATTACGTAGTAGTAGTACAAGTTTCTATCTCTCTATGCGTCTGGTACTCCGGTAATGTTTGAGCCATTTCGTCTAAAAAGTATTTAGCAACTATAACAGTATCTACGTATTTGGATTGAAACTAATATTGTTTGCTAAATAAATATATTTGATATAACTGTATGTATCCTACTAAAGCATTATTGGTAAATGCCAAAACTTGTTCTTTTTAAGCTAAAGAACTACAGAAGTTAGTAAAATATAGAACTAAAACACTTCATTGTTCACTTTGTTGACTAATATCCTTCTGACAATGTCTGTCAATTGAATTAGTATAATATGTATTGGATTTTCCTTTTTATAGTCTAAAAGAAATACATTTGTTTTTTTGGCACTTTGCGGAATATACCGGAAGAATTAACTTTTTACCATCCTCCCAAAATGCTAGTGCTTAAATGCGCTCTCCTAAAATTTTATTCCCAAATACCACCCGGGCCCAAATGTTAGCCTCACATATCACCTGGTACCACGTCACTTTTGTTTGAATGGGAAAAGAGGCTAATATGTGGGCCCGGGTAGTATTTGAGAATGAAATTTTAGGATAGTGGAATTTGAGCACTGGCATTTTGGGTGAAAGATGTATTTCAAACTATACTTCCTCTGTTTCATATTATAAAACTTTCTAGCATTGCCAATATTTATAAAGATGTTAATGAATCTAGACATACATATGAACGTTGGCAATATATGCTAGAAAGCCTTATAATATGAAACGGATAGAATATTTTTTATTGCCAGTGATTGGAGCAATCAATATCCCGCGTGATCATCTAGTCTGATCACCGATATTACAGGTGCTCCGAATAGCTTGAAAATTCAAAATGAGCGTAAAAACAATTGAATATCAAAATTTAAATGGTAAATCAAAGAAAATTTGTCCTATCAATATGTAACAAAAACTTTTATTTTTCATTTTTAACTAGCGTATATAGTCGTGCGTTCGCACGACTTTAACCTCTCTGTACTGAACGTGTTTACATTTACACATTGTTTCTACTGATAAATTATACTTAGTCTATAGCTACGCTCGTCCAAGATGGTTGATTCGCGGTTTATAAATATGAAAAGTGGGTTTATTGGTATGTTTTTTAAATATAATTTATATGCAGAATAGAGTTTTAGGATTGTTGTAGCGGACAGGATTGAGTTTTGTATTTGTCTTCTATGCTGCCATTTCTCCCACAGTAATCATATTTTTCACTTTTGCTTAAGCCGCGCCTCCATGCCACCAATCACCGTCTGCATTTTTGCATGACTCTACCATTCTCATATCTTTTTTACGTACTTAATAGGTGTCCGGAAAACTTATTTGGCCAAAAATCTGCATACAACACAAATATATTTATCTTGATATGTAAAAAATAAATTTTATCATGAAAATAAATAGTAATTTTATTACTCCTTTCGTTGCTAGATACTATAGGTCTACGTTTGAGCACAGCAACACAATCGTAACTATGGGCCTATTTTGAGGAGTTTAAGCTTCTGAGAAGCAGCTGCCGAGAAGCTAGCTGGTGAGAATTTGGAGAAACTGGGAAGCTTCTGGCTTCCAGTTCATTTTCCAGATTCTACAACTACAAATTCTTAAAATCTGCGTAAAAAACTGGACTGATTGGAGAAGCTTCTGGCAACTGGAGATTCTAGGAAAAGCTGCAGCTGCTAGAAACTCCCTCAAACAGGCCCTATATCTGGTTTAAGATGTTATTTTTTCTTTTATTGTTTTGCTGGCCAAACACAGGTTTTTACAGGCGATTGGCTCCATCACTTGCGAATTAAGGCATATACATAATTTTCATAGGCAGACGGGTTGCCATATACAGAAATAAATTCTCATAGACAGATCTTTAAGTGATCCACATGTGAAAATGTTTTCGTATATGCACTAACTTTAAAAGATCCGTTTGAGAAAATAGATTTTCATAGGTGGCCTTACACCGAAAGTGCACGATTCATTTTTTAGAGACGTGTCTCTTTTAGTCTGCACGTAAATAAAATGTTGGTGTTGCTAAAAATATTTTTTTTAGAGTGAAACCAAAATAATCTAATAATGTGTAGTAATCCACAAAGCTCTATGTGCTCCTGTGTGTAGAATAGGATTATTTTGTACACCAGATAATAAAAAAAAAGATACCAAATTAGTGAAAATCCCTCCAGAATTTGCCATACTTAAAAATGGCGTACGAAATATTGTCTAATTTTACTTATATATATAAAATGACGATTTTACTCATGGAATTGCCTGCCGTTGAGTAAAAACGACGGTGCAACCCGAGAAAAAGAGTGTCCTATACTTGTTCCGTGTAATTGGAGGCGTGCTTTAATTTGTGTAGGCCTTTATTATTTTCCAACACTCAAGACAGAGAACGTGCTAATTATACCGAAATACTATAACGGACTGATCTTAGGTAATTACGATGGGCTGCACTCGGAACTTGATAAGTTGAAAAGGGAAGTTGAAGAGATGAAGAAACTTTACAAGGAACTATTCGAGGTATGTATGTTATCGTCCTCATAAATATTTAATTTTACGACGGGCATTCTAATGAATTTGAAGCGCGTGACTTAGAGTTTGGCACGGAAGGATAAGGATGTCAACGCTATTTTGAAGAAGAGCAGTGCGGCAAAGGTATATTTCATTATGCCACTGAGCTTTTGCACTTCCCATCGCATTTTGTCCACTTCAATTGTTCCATATTCCATCCTGATGCTTGTGTTTCAAAAATGTCAATTTTCTCGAAGAAGACAAACAAACCTTCTTGCGATCGGGATCTCGATACGTATCTTCATTATTATAAAAATTAAATTAAAGATGTTCTTATCGAACTTATTTCATACATCATATTATCCGATTCCGCTTCAGCGTCGCGCCCCGCTTCGTGTTCGCATGCATGCACGCACCAATTTTTAGTCCGAGTCCAGAATTGTTTCACTCAGTTTGGCTCCAAAACATATGCGTCCACAAGGGAGGAAGAGAGAAATCGGAAAGGAAGACAAGACGGGATTTCCAACGCATGTCTGCGCGGTCGGCCTGCCTCCCGACCTCCAGATCAGTTTTGATCGATGAATTTTGTCGTGCTGCCACATCGCAAATTCTTGATTAGTTCGATCAAGTACGTATATGTCCGTGTAAATACAGGATTCAACATAGTATGAACCATCTCTTTTTTTTAAGGGCTGTTCACTTTGTACCAAACTTTTTCTAAAAATACAATAATACAAATATAGACGCTCACAATATATGCACTATTACCCCTACGAACGCACGTACACATGCCCTACGCCGATGAGCATCCCTGAAAAACTGGAATGTAATTTATTTAGATTGATGAGGTCACTACAAGTGACTTGCTGTGGACGGGAACGTCGTCTACCACTGAAAAACAAATAGCTGTAAATACGAGCAGTCGTGTCAAGTTCAGAGGTTCAACCTAGATGGGCTGGTTTCACACCACAAGAAACCTTAGCTACACTCACTTCGCACTTTGTTGCCAAACTTAACCCTACTAAATTTTGGCTTTACCAAACTCTAGCAAGGCAACAATCTAAATATTTATACACGAACGATTTTTTCTTTCTGCGCACGCGGTAAGTTTGGTTTTTAAAGTTTTTTTCCTTTATCTTGTGCAATCCGCACGCGCGTAGCACGCCCTGCCTCAGCCGCCAAGCTTTCGGTTTTCTTGGTCCATGTGGTTTTTTTACCATTTTTTTCACACGAAAAGGTTTATTTTCCGCGCACACGGCAAGTCCGGTTTTTTTTTGTCCTTTCTTTTGATCTCATCTGGTTTGTCCGCACACGCACAGCGTGCCCCGCGTCAGCCACCGCTTGGCCGAACCCTAGCGCCGCCACCACGTCGATCTACCTCCCCGTACGTTTCCTCCTCCAATCGATTACAAAAATTGATTCTTCATTCCTCTATCATCATTTTCCCCATGATTTTCTCTGCCAACTTGACTTTAATTCGCTAAAGTTAATCTCTATTTAAAAGTTGCTGATGATGGCCGGTCGGCGAGCTTGATTTGCTTTGATTTTGGAAAAAAAACGGTAAGTGGAGATTAAGTGGATCAAAAACCCTCAACTAATTTTAGTAGATCGAGAAATATTCGGCCGAATTTGATGGGAGGATCGGCTCCAGCATTGTACGAGCATAGGACTATCTTTCGGAGGTTGAAGACGGCACGTGCGAACTGGGTCTGCAACTCCACTTGTGGGCTGCGCCGAAGAGAGGCAGGTCGAGCGGAGAGAGGTAATGGATTGGGCTTGGACTAAAAAGAAAAAAGAAATGGGCTTTCGGCCCAAAACCGATGAAAAATTTTCGTTGACTTTTTTTAATTATAATATGTAGCGATTTCAAATGTTTCAATTTATTGCTTAGCTCTTAATGGTTGTTGTATCACTAAAAAAACGTATTTACCTGTTGCAACGCACGGGCATTTTTTTATAGTTATTATAAATATTAAAGATATTTTTGTTGGTATTTTGGTACGTCTGTGTATGAGTCAGTTTTTAGGTTAGTTTGATTTTGGAAATACATATCCATATTTAAATCGGGTTTTAAGTTCGTTCGCTTTTAAAAATACGGAAATGAGTCGTATAAGATATCTCTATGCTAATTTGAGATGATTGGACTCCTAATTGCAGCTCATGATTTTCTAGAAATATATATATTCAAGCGAATTCCCACAGTAAATTTAAACTTAACTAAACCTTATAACAATAATAAGATTAAAATAACCTTCACCCGTTGCAACGCACGGGAATTTTTTCTAGTAAAAACAAAATAATGCAAGATTAATCCTAAGTTACTAAAATTCAGAAAAATAAAATAGAAGTAAATTTAATATCCAATGAATAAGGCAATGCGTGATTAATTCACATTCGGAACAAAAAAACAAAAAAGACATTCTAAACCAAAACTGCTATAAATCGGTAAGATTCAAGAAAAACTACATTAATAATATAAAGAAGAATCCACATAATACACAATACAAGGTTAATTGAGATTTGGACTAAAAATAACATAAAATCTCTAAATTGCTGGAATTTAGAATAAAATATTTATAGTAACTAGTACTCCATATAAATATAAAAATTGCTGGAGTACTATCTAAAGATGTGCCCACACAAAAACAAATGCTGTTAAGATTCAATATAAAAATATAATTTATAGATATCCAAAGTTATGATTAAAAAATATCAAAACATAAGTGCCTGAGAAGTTGAATGATATTAATTCTGAATAAAAAATAAAACTAGATATAGTCGATTTAAATGAAACTTGAATCTTAATCCCTAAATCACTAGATATTAACTTTATAGAAAGATAATAAAAAAATTCACAAAAGAGACTACTCAAACCAGGGCGGATTTAGGGCCCGGCCAGCCTGGGCAGCTGCCCTGGCTCCTCGATCTGCATCAGTACAACGGTTGCTCTGTTTTGCTGGCGAAGCTGCATGAAAATCTGCACTTTTTTTGGGCAGCAAGAGCAGTAGCAAGCACAGCGTTTGGCCGATCAGCAGGAGCACTGAAGTGCTAATAAGAATTTATTTCTATTGGTCATTAGTTTATTGTGATCTACTCCCTCCATCTCGTAAAAACCAATTTCTTGCTTTGAATCTGGACATAAGCCAGGTGTTGGTTTTTTATGTAACGGAGGGAGTATATTTGATTAATCAATCAGATTTGTACTGGATTAGGATCCAAACTTCAGAATGTCACGGCGTTTAGTTGATGCAAGGAACCATGATGATACTATAGTGAAAGATTCTTGCGCATTACCATTCATTAGCCCAGCCTGGGCTCGGAAAAATTAGCCACTGTGTATGCGTGTGTGTATATATATATATAGCAAATCTATTCTACACCCCCCTCTTCCATGGGTCAAACCCACCTCCCCCTACCCTTCCTTGGGCCCAAAACCCCCTTCCCACCTCGATCAAAGCGTCCTTCCACCGGTCAAACCCACTCAATACTCCTTTCCCCGCCCACCACTTTGTTGTTCTCGTATTGCAGAAATCGTGTAGCAATAGCACGATCATCGTGTAGTAACAAGATAACATTCTCGCAGTAACAACGCCAAAAAGTAGTCATGATAGATCTAGTTTCGTTAATCGTTTTTTAATGAATGTCATGGTGCAAACGGATTAGAAAAACAAGATATGATATGAGAGAGATTGCTCTCTAAAGATTAAGATTTACTTATTTTTAAGTCCTCGTTTCACTGGAACGGCGCAGTAATGCGACGGCTAATGTGTAGTAACACGACTGCTTTCCGCAGTAACGATGTTAAAAATAGTTATGATGGTTCTAGTTTCGTCAAGCACAATTTCTACGAATGCCATGATGCAAACGGATTAGAAAAATAAGACATGACGTGTATGTTACTGCTATCTAAAGATTGAGATTTAAAATACTTTAGCTCTACAAAAACATTACTACCATAGTGTCACTATTACTATGCATGTTCTCCGTTACTGTAAATTTTGTCATGTTGTTACTGCCAACAGTGTAGTAACAACCTATAAATTTTGCTGTAACGTATCATGTTACTACCCTTCTAATATAATGTTACTGCCGAATTATAGTAACTAGGTTTGATTATCACATTAACATAACCGGTTCTCACACAATTTGAACGGACATACAAAGCATGCGAACAATGTTTTCTATTCACATAACATCATGCGGTGAATTGGTTAGGAGAGTTTGCCGTGGACCATGAAATCATGGGTTCAAGTCTTGATTTCAAAACAAAGAAAAAGAGATCGGGAGGAGGGAGGATCCCTCCCGATCGGGTGGGGGAGGGGGAGGAGGGGGAGGATCGCTGGGAAGGGGAGGAGGAGAGAGAGATCAGGAGGGAGGGAGCGCTGGGAGGGGGAGGAGGAGGGCGCGCCTGGGAGCGACGGGATGAGCTGGGCCTGGGAGGTGGGAGGGGGGGTGTAGAATAGTTGTTCTAAGGGGGATGTGTAGAATAGACATGTCCTATATATATTTATATATTTATATTTATATTTATATTTACCTTGCTTAGTGTTCTTTTCAGAAGTAATGTTCAACGCTAATTATGCTGACGACAAGTGTTACACCCGGACATGGAGAATTTGATGGTGATTCTTAAGCTTGCTCGGACTCAACCTGGTCAATTGTTTGTGGGATTAGTTTGTTCATGACACTGAGCCACTATGGTTTATTTCTTCTTCCTCCGCACTTGCACTTTTGTTGAACTATTTGGTTTCTCAGCCCTATGTGGTGTAAACCTATGTAGTGATGTAATAATGGTGATTCCCTTTTGGTAATATTGCCGATGTTGTATCAGGAACTATGCTTATGCTTTTTTGAAAAAATATGTGTTATTTCATTCTTTTACGCTTTATTTGATATGATTTTATCTCAACATGATTTATGATTGTATATTATGTCAGAAGAATATGATCAAATTATCAAAACAGATATGTGCCAATGATGATGTTTCATGTTTTCATGATCTTACATATGGGGAAATGTCATCAAGTCTATAATAGAAACATGTGTTAGAGACATGAGATTGTCGTGGTTCTGAATCTGCAGCCTAATGGTTCATTTAGGTTGTTTAATAGTACTCTATGACTTGGTAGTTATACAATAAAGGGAATTGCTAAATCACAACTGACTGAAATTTTTGAGGAATTTCTCGTATATTTCTAACCTTAGGATTTGTTTGTGATTGTTGCTCTGGCAACCCCATGGTCCTTCTCCTCCAGTTCTGAAAACCCTGACGAATGGCAATGGAGTTAGGGTTTAGGGTCCTGGGTTGGATTGGAAGGAGGGGACGAAGGGCGACACCACCGAGCTTAGAGGGATGGATGTGAGAGGCAGCAGCATGGTGGTGGACAGTGGACATAGGTGGGCTACCTGGATGAAGGTGATAGGCCGTCATGGGCAGTGGGGTTAAAGTGAGTGTGTGTTTAGAAGACAACAGCCGGTGGTGGTGGATGTGGCGCCAGGAAGCCGTTGGCGATGGGGTAGACGACGATGAAGGGGCACCTCACCACTATTGGATTGAGGAGGAGGTCAGCCTGATGGGCCTTACCTACGCCGGCATGAGATATTATTGAATCTATAAAATATTTTCAGCCATAATTTATTGAAGGAAAATTTTATACCCCACATTAACTTTGCTAGTTATTTGACTAAACATTCATTATAAATTATAGAAATAAATTATTAAATATTTTTTCATTCCCTGGTAAAAAAAGGGTGTGACATTCGTTGACTCTCATCATTATTTTTGTCATCGTTGGTGTTCCATTTTATAGTTTATAGACGATGTAGGCTTGTAGTCGCTACTTTACGTTTTCGTTGTCCCTCGGCTCACTCGTGAAACCACCGCCTCCCTGCTCATTTGTCAGTTGTCACCTATCAAGTCATCAGTCCGTGTTGTCTCACTTGTTTGTTATGGTCAGCGCCTAGCGAAATTAGTACTTCTCATCGCCATAATTTTATTAGAAGCCCTGCTAGGTAATACCACCACCGTGTCCATGCCTTACTCATTTTCCGCATGTCAGGGCGCCCTCTTGCAGCTCCTATTCGTCAATTGAGCAGCTCGTCCTCCCACGACCACATTTGTTACTAAAACGGAATCGGTTATCTCTAACAAACTTAAAGCATCATCTCTTTCAGACAGGGCAATCATTACTAAGCAAAGATCAGTGATGTGAGAAAATATCTCAAACGGGCATCCGGCCGTCACAGACGATACATCTCAATCGGGCTAACGCAAAAGCCCGTCACAGATGACTCTCATCTCTAACAGGCCTAGATTATATCCCGTCACGGATAACTCGCATCTCTAAAGGACCTAGATTATAGCCCCTAGGCCCGTCACGGATGAGTATAATCTAAAAAAAAATTGTTTTTTTTGTTAGCCTCAAGCCTTTGCCCTCACTCGTGTGCCTTCCCGGTCAGTCACCCATCTGGACTCGTGTGCACCCGAAAAGAATTTTCCGGTCGGTCTCCCATCCCGAAATCGGAAATGCTAATGGGCGGGTGATCGCTCCCCCGCCCGCCCAGCGATCACCCGCCCACCCTCTCCCCTATACTACTAGATGTACTCCTCCCTCTTCTCCCCTTTCCTCCTCCCCTTTTTTGTCTTTCTACTACAGTACACCACACAAATTTTTTTAAAAAACAAAAGTTAGAAAAATTTATGTATAGAAATACTATATATAAAATATTTGAATTCAAATTCAAATTTGAATCGGGTATGTAAACTTTTGACTTATAAACTTTGGATCTATAAACTTTAGGTGTATAAACTTTAGATGTATAGAAATACTATATATATAAAATATTTGAATTATTTGAATTCAAATTCAAATTTGAATCAGATATAATTCAAATTCAAATTTGAATCGGGTATGTAAACTTTTGACTTATAAACTTTGGATCTATAAACTTTAGGTGTATAAACTTTATATCTATAGAAACACTATATATAGAAAATATTTGAATTGAAATTAAAATTTGAATCAGATATAATTCAAATTCAAATTTGAATCGGATATAATTCAAATTCAAATTTGAAACGGGTATATAAACTTTTGACTTATAAACTTTTGGTCTCTAAACTTTAGATATGTAAACTTGAGGTGTATAAACTTTAGGTGTATAAATTTACTAAAATAGGAAAGTAATGCGGTGCCAAAAAAGAAAACCAGGTGGAGGGAGGGAGGGGGGAGGTGGGGAGAGATCGCTACCCCATCCCCACGGCGATCGATCGCCCATTGGGCGTACCCTCCCGAAATTGTGAAGAATTTCCCGGTCAGTCACCCATCCCGAAATTTTCTTTGGATATTGGCTTCCGAGAAAGAAATTGTAATTTGTTGGTACGAGTATTCTATTAATCCTATTAAGCCCTGGGCCAAGATGTCACACCTTAGCACTATTCATATAGATTCATTCACATACACAACCATCAATATATTTAACACAACAACATTCACATAACATCCATTTTGATCACATATTTCACCAGCAAGACCGAGTTAATTGGATCAAATATATATTTAGCAAGTATTATCATGAGAAGGAGGTAAATGAGAAAAAATGACTTTCGAATTGAATTTTATGATACTAAATGAACTCATATGAAAATGGTGTCAAAAACAAAGTTGTAGAACTCATTGAAATCTACCAATTTTATTTTGGTCATTTCTCCATCCGAGTTTGATTGAACTATAGAAAATTTGTATTTTAAAATATAAGAAATTCAAATATTTTTTCGGGTAGTAAATGATTTTAAATGAAAAAATGGTCAACAACAAAGTTGTATAACTTATAAAGATTTACAACTTTTATTTTGGTCATTTTTCCATATAACTTCTTTTAACGGTTTGAATTTAATTTGAAAATATGACAACTTCAAACAATATTTTTAAATACTAAATAATTTCAAATGGAAAAATTACCAACAACAAAGTTGTATAACTTACCAAGATTTATAACTTTTTTTTTTGGTCATTTTCTATATAACGTTTTTTTAACAGTTTGAATTTAAATTTAAAAATATGACAACTTCAAACAACATTTTCAAATACGAAATGATTTCAACTGAAAAAGTCATCAACAACAAAATTGTATAACTCATTAAGATCTATAACAAAGTTGTCTCCGAGTCACTGACCAACCTGCTGATTTTCATGGAATCTCTCTCGTTCAGAGCTGGATCATCAACGTCACGTAACATATCTTGCAGTAGATCAGGATCTACATCAACCATTTCACCGCCCAATGGAGATGGTACAAACATGTCATGCTCATCTTCATCTCCTTCTTCATGATTGTCTGCACCACTTCCATCTGTAACTGCACCATCACTTCCCAATTCTTACTCTCCATGCTTCACCCAACATATGTATCCCTTCATTAATCCCCGTCGTATCAAGTGAGCGTGTACGTCCACTCATGTTTCAAACATAGTCTCATTTTTGCAATCCATACGTGGACAACATATGTATTTGTTGTTTCTTCTTCTCCTATTCTCCTCCGCGGCATTCATAAAACTTAATACGCCATCTCTATACTCATTACGCTGACACTTCGAAGTAGTCATATACATTCAACTTCGATTCATCGCCGAAAAAATGAACAAAATATTAGTTTACATACTACTCAATTAATAAGAAATTATCAGTACCTTTTTACATACTTTTATGATTTTTCCTGATTTTCTTTGGAAAAAAAGGCAAAAATTCGCCCCCTTCAACCTCCCACCAAAATAGTGAACAGTGGGATAACTTCAGATAACAGTCGGGTGGAGTATTTACAATGTGCAAAAATATATCTCAATCGGACCTAAGAAACGACATCTCTAACGGACGCACAGTTATCTCTAACGAGTATAAATAAAAGCCCGACACCGATGAGTCATCGGTGACGGGTGTTAAAGTCATCTCAATCAGGCCTTCTTTGGGGCCCGTCACTGATGTGCTTCATCACTGACGGGCTCAGTAGGTGGGCCCGATTGAGATAGTGGAGGTCATCTCAATCGGGCCTAACTGTGAGCCCGTCACAGATGAGTGTCATCGGTAACGGGCTACATGTACTGGGGCCTCGATTATATCTGTACGAGTACATCTACAACGATGTAATTTTAGACCCCGTTAAGATGACTTCGTTCTGACGGCCCAAGAAGTGTTCCCCTGTCACAGATGAGAGGATATGTACTAGTGCGCTCGCCTTGAAAACCCAGCCGAAGGCGTCGGCCTCTCCAGATCCGGCCAGGAGAAAACGGAACGATCTGGCCATCAAGCCGCCAGCAACTCGACCCCCTACCTCTGCCGCCGCCGGCTCTGCTGCCATTGACTCCGCGGGCTACGGCAACGCTGAGGGACGAGGAGGGGGAAGGGCGGCGGGCTGCTGTCGAGGCTGGTCGCCGCGCGAGTCGCCCTTGAGGACGGTGCCTAAACAAACCATGGTGCAAAACACCGTCGCGGCATGTAAGCGATTTGCAAGGACTACCAAACAGTAACAAACACGGTAATTGTTGTGAGTTAATTTTGACTTACTATAATAACATTGAGATCGTCCATTCATACGGGGGCAATTTAATTGGCTGGTGAGTAAACTTGCAACAGCGCACTTTGTGAAAAGTGTGACATGCCACAAGCCCACAACACAAAGTATATATAGCTAGCAATTTTGTTAGTGATAAGACTGATAATGTTTGGCAAGAAATTGAGCGTACAATAACTGGGTCCAAGCGCCCGTAAACAACTAAAAGTTGGCGTGGCAACCTTTGAGAGAACCAAACAAACAAGACCATAATGTATCATATCCAAATCCAAGGAATCAATTGACCAATCACGACAGCAGAACTGAAGATATAAAATAATTGGATATGGTAATGTGAACTCTAAAAGCTCAAAACCTGAACTTTTTTGGAAAACTGACTAATTTAAATCGTAAACCCAGAAATTTTTGGCAAAATTAAGTACTCCGAGATTGTGAACCCTGCTTGTAATAGGCTAACATGCTGTAGGCTGCTTGTAATATGGCGCACAGGAACAAGACGAAGGCAGCAAGGACGCCCAGCCAAACGAGCGGGTTATTCCAGTCCCTGTAGCGGCGCAGCTTCGCCCGCCAAAGCCACCACCTGCTGCTGCAGTGGCTATCCAGCTTGTACCACACTGACTTGATCAGGTAGTCCTCCGTAGCATAATCGATCTGCTCGCACAGCATGCTTAGCTTCTTGGCGGCCATCTCGTCGCTATTCTCCAAGTGCACGAGGATGCCCTTCTTCGTGAGCAGGCCGACGTCCGCGGGGGTGGAGGCCAGCTGCGATATGAAGGTGCAGTAAGCGGTGACATGGCCGCCGAGCTGCTTGTTCGTCTCCTCCAGCAGCATCAGGTTCCGGAGCAGCCTCCACGTCTCCGGCTGCAGCTCCAGCTTGGGTATCTCCACCACACGGCCGACGATCCTAACGTCCGAGATGCACTGCGCGTCGCCGGGCTCGCTGCCGAATTCTCTCTTCTTGAACTCCACCAGCAGCTCGCTGTACTCCGTTGCCCGGCGCCACACACGCACCTGCTGGTTATCGCTGGCCGGCGGCGGCGGCATTTCCGCCGAGCTAGTTGGCTTGAGCAGCTCGTGGCACAGGTGCAGGATATGGTCGGCGTTGCCTGGGTTGCTCACCGTCCTATTGGTGTAGCTTGTCAGCCCAGACTCGATGACCTTGCTGATCCTCCCTAGGGGACAGTCTTCTTGGCCGTTTTCAATATCGGCCGGGAGGTTAAGCTGCTGGTAGATTTTCCTCAAAACAACGAAGGGGAGCTGGTTTCCGTAGAGGAAGATGTCATGCCACCACAACTGGTTATCCCACACGATCCCATCTGTGCCTGGCACTTGCAAACCTTGTAGGGTGATTAGTAGGAAGCATCCGTCATTCACCATCATTTCACGGAAAGTTATGCCGCTTTCGTGGAGGACATGGGACGAGATTATTTCATCGTAGTACTTCCTCACTTCACCTTCAATCTCCTTCATCGCTTCAAGTAAGCTAGCCTCCCCTTTTGGAGATTCCAAGCGGTCAATCACATGTTTCTTGCAATCCCTTTTCCACTGGTTCGACCTGACATGCAGCCCCTCTCTACGACAGTGATAGGGTCCGATGGAAATGTAGCTCGGCTCGTGCTCTGCTCTGTCTGTTCTGCTGATATGCTCGGGGACACCGAAAAGACGGCATCTGTAGTTATCGCCTCCTTCAGAACAAATGGTCACTTTTACCGGCGTCACTTGTATCTCGTTGTCACTTGTATCTGCATGTCGGTTGCATTTTTCGGGCATGTAACAAAGATTGTAACAACTTAAAATATTCTGCAATTTAATCTATACTATATATATAGTTGACAAATGTGTCATATTATCACTCACTAGCAATTATCTGCAGTATTTTAAATCACATGCAAATTTGCCACATTATCATATACTAGCAATTATTAACTAGAGTATTTTAAATATCATGTAAACATGACATACCATTTATAATTTTATTGCATTTAGAACTCAATATGCAAGCAATATCAAATCATTATCTCTACATTATTTTTAGACTATTTAAACATATACATGTATTGTTTTCATAATGTATAACATACATTTATTAACATATCCTGCAACAAAGTGCGGGATATCAACTAGTTTGTACTCATAAACATCGCATGTTAATGACTCGTTTTGCAAGAACTCAATGCAACTATTAGAGTCCTCATACCATTTGTGACGTGGGTGTGGAACCTATCACTACAAAACACCATATAAGGACTGACTTCATATGTGTCGGTTTGCTTAAAATCAACACTTATATCTTCTCATAGGTGTTGCTTTATTGGAAAACCAGTATAGATAAATATTTGTAACGGTTTTTTTAATAAACCAGCACCGCTTAGTTTGGAGCTGAGGGAAGCCGAGAACTGTAACGAGCACGCCATTGTTTTATATTCTCACTACTCGATCTTGTCCTTCATGTCTTCGTCTCCTTCCTTATACTCTCTTCACTTCCGCCTCTCTCCCGCAAGACATTTCTCACTTCTCTCCCCAGTGAGCATCTTTGCTGCCGACACCTCTCTCCCTAGCCAACCACCTGCAACTGTCGCCTCCTCTCTACCTAGCTAGTGAGCAGCGCGTGGCCACCGCCTCCTCTCTCCCCAGTTGGCAAGCAGCAACCTCGACTGGGCATCAACTGTGGTGAATGGGCGGACGCCATCTGCCTTCACCAGATTTGAACACCAACACCCTCCTCATAGCATGGAGTTCCCTGCTGGTCAGCCAGCTTCAACTTTTCCATGGGCCAGTCGTCCGCCATGAGCTTGAGGATGGCAAGATCTAACCACCATGAGCTTGAGGGCTACCAGATAAGGCCAACATGAGCTTGAGGGTGGCTAGATCTGGCCTCGATGGTGGTGGGCAGACGACTATGATGAGCAACTACAACAGCGGCCCTCTCTCCTATGTACCCGTCTATTGTTAATCTATGTATGTTTTTTATGAGTTTTGTTCTTAAATGTTCTTGGACGATGATGATTCTCTGTTGTTAATCGATCTCAAGGGCGGCGACATTATTCTTGGATGTTAATTACGTGAGATGTAATTATTATGAGTCTGTTGTTCTTGGTTGGGGATTGATTTTGGGGGTGACGCAGGGATGCATCGGACCGGCTTTTTTTTTATTCTTGGAACCTTATAGGTGCATGTTCTTGAACCGGCACCTATATGATGTTCCCTAGTAATATCTATAGGATGTTATGTACTTCTTCCGTTGTATATATGGGGGTTGGGATTTTACATCCATTGCTGTTTTCTTTTTTTTTTATTTCAGTGTCTTTTTCCCATGTGACAGGTACCCTCTATATCTCTCTCTCATATGTAAGTATGTTTCTATCTGTATCTCTTTTCTTAAAAGGTAATTAATTATTTTTATCTTAATTCTCCTTTGCAGTGTGTAGAAGAAAATTTGAAGCGTAGGTATTAAATTTACCGTGTGGATGTATATATTTTTTTTGTAATGTAAAAATTGTGATTGGTTTCAATAAAAAAAATAAAGGAATCATAATATAGCCAATCCCTGGAATTCAATTTAATGTTAATATAAGAACTGAAAATCTAATTTTTCCTAGCGAATACTTAACATAATAAGTTAAATTTGTCCGGGCTCATCTTCTGGGCCTTGCCAGTGCATAAGAGCGTGCATACATATGGTAGCTAAACTATAAGCCAACTATAAACTTATTATGTGAAAGAGAGAGAAAGATAAGAAATGTTGGCTCTCACGCAAGAGTTAGTTATCCACTTGATGTAAAACAATTACATTAAATTCATAGTGTGAGAGAAAAACAGAGTTCAGAAAAAATAGAGTCAACCTTATAATTAATCTATATTATATAGTATGCCATTGTTTAGTTCCAAACTTTTTCTTCAAACTTCCAACTTTTCCATCACATTAAAACTTTTCTACACACATAAACTTCTAACATTTTTGTCATATCGTTCCAATTTCATATGTTGTTTTAGTCTGAGCTAATATATATACAATAGTTAGCTATATGTAAACTTGCTCTAAAATCCCTTGGTGCTGAGATCGAAGTATTACCTGCCGGAGAGGGTTGCGGCGGTGGGCGCAGGCAATTGCAGATCAGCGCGTCCATCGCGGAGCGCCAATGATCAGCAGCTGGCCGCCTCCCGCCGGCCGCCACCTCGCTGTTCGGCGCCTCGATGTCCATCGCTCCTGCAGCCGGTGTGGCGCCATTCGTGGCGTACGACGGCGGCGTCGACGACCTGGCCGATCCACCGCCGGCCGGTCGGCTGCAGCTAGCCGCAGCAGCTTGGTGGTCGTTGCGTTGCGCCATTCAAAGGGAAGAAGGAAGGAATTACGTACGTATAGGCTCGCTTCACGAGCGCAATGCAGCTGAGCTGTGATTACATTACATGCTTGTGCGCAGCCAGACATCCACTTTTTATAAGGTGGTTCGATCATCGACTTACCCCAACAAATGCCAATTCAAAGTACTGGCCATACGCCCATATGTATGTACAAGACTAATACTAATATCTATACATATAATTAAGTATATATACTAATGGCCAGAGAGTTGCATGCGAATCTGCTTAAATTAGAACGCGACAGACATGCCTAGTGGCAGAGTGTGGCCAGAGAATATACTTGTTCGGATCATACTATATATCAAAGCCACGTGCATAAGGCTGTACTTGTACATGTAATGAAGGGGTCTACCATATTTCCCGATCAGTTATTTTGATTTATTAGAAAATAAAAAATAATTTACATGTAAAATTTTTATATATGGGTTGTTAACACCTTAAAAGCCAATGCTGAAAAACAAACTACGTTGAAAATATCTTAAAATTAACCAAATAATTAATGGTTTTGGTTTAATTATCAGGCCAACCGATGAGGCTGATTGGTGGGAGCTGGGTGAGGGTTGTGATGATGAGGAATATTTTGAAATAGCTAGCTTATAATCACCAAAGATAAACATCACTTTCAATTTAAGAAAAGCTATATTTCGAAACAAAATTTAAACACTACTAGAAGTTGTAATTTGGTCCAAACAGAGTAGCAAACTGAGAATTTACGACGAAATTAATCAAATAAAGCAAAATGAAACTAGACTATGGCAGCAGGTTAACTCTCAGTTCCCTCAATCTTCCTATAATTCATCTAGAGTATCCGTCCAAAGCTTCCTTTTCTTCGAATCCCCCCGATGTTGTTAATTAGCATCATATGCTGAAACTAGCATATATAAGTCCGATCGGCTTACTATCCGAAGTTGGATCGACAACTCGAGCCAAGCGCATTGATCCTACAAAGCATTGGACGCTACTAGGGAGCGGCCGGTCGCTGGTTTATTAAATCAGCGACCGCTTTTTACACGTATAAATATCTCTTTAGCTTAAAAAAATACAATGGTATATTTCGTTTTTAACCTCTTTAATGACTTATATCTTTTAAATAACATATTATTTTTAATATCTATTTGCATCATTATTCTCTGCTCAAAATATGTGACAAAATAAGATCCATGTTGAATATATTTAAAATATTTTATTAATTTAAAAGTAATTTATTTAAATTATAGAAGTAACTTAGCTATGCAATAGAAGTAACTCTCTATAGCATGAAAAGTAATTACATTATGACTTAGTTGAAATAAGAAACTATGTGGAGTAAATTCACAAGCAAAGTTTAGAGAAGATTTTCAAGTAAATATATTTATGAAAGTAAATTCAATAAATTCTAGAAGTAATTTACACAAATCATAAAAGTATCTTAGCACAAATGGAAGTAAATTGTTGCAACATTATAATTAAATTCGTTGTAGGGAGAAAAATTTGGTCTATCTAAAAATTAAATTTGAAGTTCATAAATTATAGAATTGACTAAAAACAATAATAAAAATAATCAACTCAAATCATTATGAATGTGTAAGAAGTAATTTAATCAAATCTAAAAGTAATTGAAATATATGATAAAAGTAACTTACGTATATAATAAAGTAATTTACAAATATAAATATTTTTTCGTCATAATATAATCATGGAAGATCTTGTTGTGATGATTTAATTGTAACGAACATAATGGTCTAATCGGATTGTAGATCGGATAAGTAATTTAAGACAAAACTTTATAAGAAGAGGAAAAAGACATGCATGTCTAATAGAAAAAAAAGGGCATGCGTGTGACGATCAAACCGCTATGACGCATGCTATGACGCGGCGTGCGTGATCGAACGAATCTAAGCAGTGTCGCGCAATAAGACAATATTGAGAGGCCTCTCCCCTCGCTGATTAGTTTTTGCGCAAAGCATTGCAGGCGGAGCAAGAGCAACAAACCAGGGGACATGTCCGAGTCATTTTCTTATTTAGGTATCAATAATATATAATTGTACATAGTATGACTCGGCCCAGAGGTCCGATCGATGGGATGCAAAACATCATACGGTGTTTCAATACTTGTCAATTTTTCATCTCATTCGGTGAAAAATGTTCCAAAAAATTATTTTGGATGGATGTTTCATCGCTCGATGAAAAATGTTCAATTTAAACAGTTGCAACATTGAGCAAGTACTGGTTACAACCTAAAAAGTCATTACGTGAAACATCAAAAGAAACCCCAACTGCAACATTGAGAAAACAAGGTCGCAACTGTCATCGTCCATCGAGGTCAATATCCATGCACACCACTCCCCTTAGAGGTTGAACAACAGTTCCCAAGGTCGCAACCTCGACCACGCTTCACCTGGGTAGTCCCTTGCTCTAGCCTCCTCCCCTCACAATCTCGGTGGCCCCAGATCCATTGTCTCGAGTTCGGCGTGGCAGATCCAGTGGGCCTGACACTAATATAGAAATGCACAAAAAAAAAAGTCGTACCAAAATAGCTAAAATCAATACCTATAGTGCTTTTCCCACCCACATGCGCACCCGCGGGACACTATCCGATAGAACCGACACCTTAACGAAGAGATAGGTGCCGATTTTTAATAGGAACCAGCATCTATGGCTCCTATCAGAGAACCAGCATCTATACTTGAAATAAAAGTGCCGGTTTTATAAAATAAAAAAGGGATACTTTCCGATGGAGCCGAGCCGAGCACGAGGAGCGGGGGAGAAGAGTCGTCATTATCTTACCCTCTTCTTATTCAGTCCATCTCTCTCCCATCTTGCACTCTCTTCCATGCCGGATCCAGGCAACGGCTACGGCGGCGACACCCTCTCCTTCGCCAGATCCGGCAGGAGGGGAGGCGGCGAGCTCCCTACCCGACAGTGGTGGTGGTAGCTCCCTCACCTCTGCTAGATCTAGCAGGAGGGAAGACAGTTGGCTCCCCACGGCCAAGGTCTTCGTCGCCGGCCAGCATGGCCTCGTCAGCTCCACCATCCTTCATCACCTTCTTCCCCGCCAACCTCCTCGCCACTGCCAAGGTCGGCAGCATCCACGCCAACTTCAAGGTTGATTTTGAGCTCATTTGATTTGGTTTATTTTGTTTGAGTTTGATTAGAACCTCTGCTCTGCTCGACTGGAATCAAGCCGAGCCGAGCATTTTTTTTTTGCCTCGTTTTCCTACTGGGTGCCGGTTCTTGGCTAAAACAAGTACCTATGTATTATTACATGTATCGGTTCTACAACCGACACCTGTAACCGAAGTCATCGGTGCCACCTACTAGTTGCTGGTTGGGAAATCAGGCACCTATGGCCGGTTCCCAACCGACACCAAAGGTGTTTTCTATAGTAGTGTGTGAGACTACACGATGAGCTGCACAATACACGGATGGAAAGCGACGCATGGAGACGGGGGATGGTGCTAGCCGGTGGAGTAGGAAGGAGGTTGCCCATAGCCCTGTTGCACTAGCACACCATAGTAGTCGGAGGTGGATGAAGAGGAAGCATGGAGTATTGCCCAGCGCACGATTTCCAAACTACTAAATGAAGCATTTCGTGCAAAAAATTTTATGTATAAACGTTTATTTAAAATAATTAAATAAATCTTTTTAAATATTCATAGTAGTTTATCCATAATTAATCATACACTAATGGCAATGTCTTATTTTGTAGGCTAGAATAAGTTCACCAGCCATCGCTGTCTAAGTGGAAATCATAAAGCCGCTATGTAAAATTTAAAGGAAATAATAAAAAAAACCTCACACATATAGGGAATGCAATTTAATTTAGATAGCTAGTCATAAAATCAGAATCAACATCATCTATGAGAAATGGAATTGACAAACAAAGACAACAGTAATCTTAGTTTGCCTTTTCTTCTCCTATTTATTGATATCTCATCAACACAAAGTTGAGTTCGATTTTAAAATGTTGCATGATGGTACGATATCTTCCGTGTATGTGAGATTTTCTTTTTTTTAAAAAAAACAACTTTTAGAACTTCTATTCATTCATAGTTTCCACTTAGTGGTTTCTACTGCATACTTACCCAACAGGACTGTGGGGGACACAGTCCCCAAATACTCACGACATAGTCTTTGGATCGTATAGTATGGGGTGGGCTGAGTGCCCTAGACCCATCCAGTTAACTTGTGAATTAAGAAAGAGGTAGAGGATAAGGTGATGGATCTCATCCCATGTAAATAGATGATAGGTACTTAGATTATAAGATCTACCTTACCCCATATTCAACCGGTTGTTTCTGCACCTATATAACGAGCACCAGAAAACCCTAATAGGGGTTGATCATTCCTTCGTACGCGCCATTGGCTATTTTTACGTTGATATGCGCACACCGATATAGATCTAATGCACATACAGCTGGAGTATAGGATCTTTAGATCGTATAGCATGGGGTGGGCTCAGTGCGCTTGGCTCATCGGGTTAACTTGTGAATTAGCACTGGTGGAGAAACCATCTTTGGTCAGTCCGGCAAAATCCACAATAGTCCCGGATCCAAATAGAACCGGGAGTAAAGATTGTTTTTAGTCCCGGTTATAAAAATTTTGATCTTTAGTCCCGATTCATCCCCTGTCAGATGTATGTCAGGGGGCCGAGGATCTTTAGTCCCGGTTGGTGTCAATAACCGGGACTAAAGATCACCACTTTAGTCACGGTTGGTACTACTAACCGGGACTAAAGATCAAGATGATCTTTAGTCCCGGTTGATAATACCATCTTGATCTTTAGTCCCGGTTGGTAGTACCAACCGTGACTAAAATTAAACACGTAGTATATAATCCCTATCCCTTATCCTCTCCTCCACAGTTACAACTTAACAGATCGAATCTCACCCCCTCTCCTCAGATCTATCCTCTCTAACTCTCCAACTCCTCCCCTTCCTCTTCTCCTCTCTAACTCCTCCCCTTCCTCCTCTCCTCCCCCTTCTCTCCCCTTCCTCCTCCCCTTCCCGGCCGGCCTCCCCTTCCCATCCGGCGGGCCGGCCGACGGCGGGGCCGCGCACTGCGGCGGGCGGCGGGGCCGCGCCCGGCGACCGGCGGCCGGTGGGGCCGCGCCCGTAGTTCGTGGCGACCAGCGGCGGCAGCGGCATTCTTTTTTTTTAATTT